TGAATAAAACTTTTTTTTTTTTTTTTTTTTTTAAAGTCTTACTTTATAGTAAGTGACGATTTGTGACAAATATTTTTCAAATTGTCTCCGAATATGAATGCATTTAGACATACATGAATCAAAGTTTCATACATTTCTAGTTATTTGAATGCACAATGATTTTTAGATTGGTTTACACTGTACTGACAATCATCACCAGAGTTTGTCACTGCTTACTACATTCTACAGCTCCATAAACAGATTGCACGTTCAGTCAGTGTAGTGTGAGCTAGCCTTAAGAGTTATATGATGTAACTCATTTTTTAACATAGAAAAAAAAAGTGAATGGGGTTTGCCTATTAATGCAAAATGTTGTGCTGAGGTTGTGAGAATGTTGGTTTACAGTTGTTAGCTTGTTTGCTGTGTGGTCACTAGGGTATTCAGAGCGGTTGCTAGGGGGCTCTTTTCTGGCTTTACGTCTCTGTGATCATCTGGTCTGTAGATTCTTTCAGTGTGTGTCCTTGAGAGTTTTCAGCTGTTTTCTGATCCAGCAGGTGTAAACGTTGATCACTTAGTAAACTAGAAACACACTCTCCTCTTCAACATGATTTGAGGAATCATTCGTGTCTGGAGCACAAACACACTCAGCTTTAGTACTCAGTTTTAGAGGTTTCAGCACATCGCTATCAGCGCTTTTACTTAGTGAACACTAATTCACATTTCCATGATTAGATTATTAATGAAAGTTTTTACAACGTGTTACCAATATGTCTCAACACTGTTTGAATGTAAAGGGAATGTTTTAAGCACTTTTAGCCCTTTAAAACCTACCGTTTCATATTTGATAAGCCACTTAAGGTCTCTAAATTATGAACATGGACTGGACTGAAGCAGCTCGGCTTTACTTGATTATCCAGACATCATTTTTCAGAGTCTCAAATATGATCTGCAGGCTTTTGAGGAACGATTGTTGGTTCATCTCTCAATCATCATTGGATTGCATTGCATTATATGTTTGGATCATTTAAATGTCATCTTACTAAGACAGATTAGTGGAGATATAGTGACGACTGATATTTAGATCATTTTATGTCAGTATTTGCTATACTGTTGTAAAGATCTAATTGATTTACATTATAATGAGAAGTTCATCTTACTTTTTGGCAATCATATTTTTGCTCAGTTTTTTTAATCTCTGAATAAAATGAAGTGTTCAGGCTTTACAGGGTTAATCAGTGTGAAACTGCATTGCATCTGAGTGACATTTTATACATCTGTGCTCTAAGAAAATGTTTAGCAGAATGTCAGAGCTGCTCGTAAAAGTGAACTGTTCCTTTACATAATGTAATAATGTTTGTTAACGACTTAGTATCCATATAAAGTCATAAAGTTATTTAAAAATAAAAGTGTTTGCCACTTTGTTCAGTACAGAATGTAAAGTGACTGCAAGTTTGTTTTTATAGTTATTATTCCAGTCGTGTCGGTTTTGAGCTGTTCAGCTTTGAGTGGTGAATGTGACAAAAGTTTTGTTCATGTTTTATTTATCAGCCTCTGGTTTTATTAACAAAGCTTTTCTTTTACTTTCTTAGCACTGTCATACTGTGTTTGACGGTGATTTTGTAATTGTGCGCTCTCATGGCACACCTGAACGCACTCCAGCAGAAGTCTGTCCAAAAAGAGGAGAAGGGCTGTGAAAGTTTGTCCTTCTTTGGGAGAGATGCCACGCTCTGTCCTGTCGAGTTTTGCCAATTAAAGCGGGTTCCCACTGTTCCGGGCAGCGGGCACGTGGTTCTTGGCACCGCGGCTCCTGCCAGGGCGCGCCGTGACTTCCGACCCCTCACAGATGGGCTCGCAGGCAGGCCTGCGCTCCTGGAGCCCGGCCCGAATGGACACGGAGGTCGCCGCTCTGGCCTGAAGGGTCCTGAGGGTGGGCGCCGCTGACAGGGCCCAAATGCTCAGCGCCGGGACGAGCGTGAGTGTGTGTTGGGGTGGGGGGGTGCTTTCTGGGGAGCCCCTGGCCGGAGCGCCACCTCACAGCGGGAAGAGATACTGTCTTGATCACTGAATATTCATGGCCGCCTGGTCGCTGTGACAGGGGGCAGCGCGGAAGAGGATGTCAGTGCGAGAGTGAGAGAAACACAGAGAGGGAGGAAATCAAATGCCAGTTCACACACAATATAAACAGAGCCGTGCCGAGGAGACAGACAGCATCTGTGATGATTGCGGGGATTGTGGGAAATGCTGCAATTCGCTGTAACACCCGCAGTAGCTGCAGCATATGGCCGAGTGCGTCTTGAGAAAAAACTTCATACCGCTCACATGGTTGGTTTAAATCCATAATCAGGCCCCAAGACCGAAAAACACTGGCTTTGGCAAGTAAATAAATCTGACTGTAATAAACATGTAATTTAAATATATGCAAGCCAATTATAATAAGTCAGGTTTGCTTTTGTAAACTTACATTGACTAGTGTAAATAATTGAATGAATGATTGAGGCCTGAAGCTTAACATTAGTGTGCTGTGCATGACAAATTTTCACTCACAAATCACTAGTACTTTTCTCAAATAATTACAGAGAAACTGCAAGTAACTCATTGAATTAAACATAACATTTTTGAAGTAGAAAGGCTGAAAGTTTTTTTGTAAAATGTACTTCAGTAATCTTTGTTTTATTTACAACCTCAAAAAAAGAGATATTTATTGCTTACTAGCTACATGTTACGCAAAATAACCTTTGTTTCCACGCAGAACCATTGTGAACCATTCAATGGGGTACTCCACCTAAAAATGAAAATTCACTCATCCTCATGTCGTCCCAGATGTTTATAACTTTATTTCTTCATATGAACAGATATGGAGAATGAAATGTTAAGACAAATAATCCATCTCTGTGAGTCCATATAATGCAAGTGGATGGGACCCTCAAAAATTATGCTTCAAAAACCACGCAAAGCGCACATGGTAATTCACACGACGTTGATGAATCAATGTCTTTTAAAGCAAAACTATAGGTGCGTATGAGTAAATTAATAATATTTTAAACTTTTTAACTACAAACCATTGCTTCTGACTGAGTTCATGGCAGCACATTTTAAATATTTGTTGAATTTTTTTACACACACCTATTTTTTATTTTTTTTGCTTCAGAAGACAGTTATTTATCAGCATCAGCTTTACGTTGGCCGAGAGAGCTCAACATACTGCAACTGAACAAAACACGTGAAAATAGAAAAAAAACACCAGCAAATTAAAAAAACATCTTCATCAGTTTGACAATGTGCTGCAAATACTAACAACACAACCAAATACAGAAATGCGCTGCAAATACTCAAAACGCAACCAAATACAGAAATGTACTGCAAAGACTCACAACGCAACCAAATACAAAAACGTACTGCAAATACTCACAACGCAACCAAATGCAAAAACGTACTGCAAATACTCACAATGCAACCAAATACAAAAACGTACTGCAAAGACTCACAACGCAACCAAATACAGAAACGTACTGCAAATACTCACAACGCAACCAAATACAGAAACGTACTGCAAATACTCACAATGCAACCAAATACGGAAATGCACTGCAAATACTCCGAAACAAAGACAGGAACACACTGCAAATACACATAACAAAACCAAATACAGAAACATGCTGCAAATACTCACAATGCAACCAAATATGGAAGCGTTCTGCAAATACTCACAACAAACCAAATACAGAAACGTGTTGCAAATACTCACAATGAAACCAAATAGAGAAACGTGTTGCAAATACTCACAGTGCGACCAACAAGCGTGTTTCTGTATTTGGTTGCGTTGTAAGCATTTGCAGCATGTTTCTGTATTTGAATTTGCAGCACATTGTTACATTTTCCCTATGTGTGCTTTGTCCCTGTTTGCTGTGTGCCTTGTTTGTCTCCATAGTTACCCTCATTTCCATAGTTATTCATTGACCACACCCCTACCTGGTTTGTTCCCATAGTAACTCATCAGTCCTTTTGTTCTCCTGTGTGTATATATAGCCCTAGTGTTTCACTTGTTCCTTGTCAGTTGTTGAACGTATGTTTGCTGTTTTACCTGTGTTTCTGGTTTTTTGTTCCCATTGTTCCTTGTCATTTGTTTACCTTCTGTCTTTATTAAAACCATGCATATAGATCCACGTCTCTGCCTGCTTGTTTACATTCTTGCAACATTACAATATGCAGATGTTTTCTTAATTTGCTGTTGTTTTTTCAGTGTGTTTTTTTGTGTTTTCTTCAGTTGCAGCACGTTGAGCTATCTCTGCCACCATAATATTATAGGTAGTTACATGAAATGTCTTGTATTTTTCATTGAACTATTAGCAAGATTAACACATTTCACCTGCATTTTCTAGACATCCCAGTGATTCCAGACCTGGAGGATGTTCAAGAGGAAGACCTCACCATGCAGATCGCTGCTCCACCCAGGTATCCTACAGTCTAAACAGTAGTCATCATCAAGAAAACAAACTCTCATATGCTTCAAGATCTGCTTGTTCTTGTTGAGAAGCTTACGTAAGTTAATTAAACTGTCTATATGCTAGCTTAAAAGGCACTTTGGTAATTAATAAAGATACTTTATTTCCATTAACATTCCTGCTGGATATATGATATGATGTTTACTTAAGGTTTAAACACATAGGTAAAATGACAATTGGAGGGTTTTTGGTGCCAGTGACCCCAAAATATGATGATCCCCTTGTTTTTTATTTGCTCTAGACATGTTTAATGAATGTCTTAACACAAGCCTGTGCACACATATCTGTCAAAAATGCTTGGATATGTGCAAACTGTTGAAGTGCCTCATGAGTAATGAGTTTAACAATCAGTGTTCATGTCTAAGGTTTCTCATAATATTTAGTCTGAGTTTAAATACATTCTTAATTGGATCGATGGAGCTGAAGCGTCTCAGAATTTCATCTGGTCATCTATCAGCAATTTAAAAGGAGGATAAAATAGTCTTTGAGATGCCAAAGACAGACACATGTTTATGGATCTCTCTTGTCTGCAGTATCCAGGTGAACAGAGTTATGACCTACAGAGACCTGGACAACGACCTCATGAAATACTTGGCTTTTCAAACCCTGGTGAGACACTCACCCATCATTCCTAAACAACACCGACTGTGGCTTTGTCCAAATCGAGGATCTTGTAAGGCAGCATAAAGTTACTGCCTAATTCATCCTTCACGTCCTACAGTGTCTGTTTTTTGGACTACCCTGGCATTATATTGCATAGCTGCAGTATTGTCAGTAATGGCTTGGCTAATGTTTTATCTGTATTGAATGTTTCTCAGGATGGAGAGATTGACCTGAAGCTGCTCACGAAGGTTTTAGCCCCAGAGCCGGAGGTGAGAGAGGTGAGCTCTGCCAGTAAATATAGCGTCTGTCCGGCTCTTTCTAGGCCGTGTAAGAGGGTCAGACAACAGATTTATGAAGTCACCAGCAGCATTCTTCATCTCATACTGTCCCACAATGTGTTACAGGACAGTTCACCCAGATATGAGTGCTCTGTCTTCATTTACTCGCCCTCACGTTGTTTCAAACTCATATGACTTTCTTCTGTGAAACATGAAAGAAGATATTTTGAAGAACCTTTACTCTTTTATATAGAATGACCGTCCATTATGACAAGAACCAAAAACATCAAAACAATAAAAAAGCATATGATTCATGTGACCGTGATTCATTTAAAAGAAAGTACATTTCTTGTGAAATTATCCATATCCAGATGAAGTAATTAATTATTTAATATCTGACTATAATCTTTTAATGGTCATGTCTAGAGCTAAAGAATCTCAATATTTTTTTAGCTTTTTGATAATATTCAGTATAATGTCTTGTATGTTATGTATTTGTTTTAAATGGCTTTAAAATGGTTAAAAGAGAATTTAAAAATAAAAACATATTTTACACAGTATTGTAAACATTTTTAACTAAAAATAAACTTACAAATTATTCTCCACTATTTAAATAGAGTTGAAACAGAACCAAATATATATATTAGATGAAAAACTTTATCAAAAAATAGAAATGCTGCTTACTAAAATTACTGAAACTGAAAAATGGAGCTAATTTTTTAAATAATAGTAAATAATTATTACAATGACAAAAGCACGTAACAAAAATACTAAAACGTAAGCAACAATTACAAAAAGTGTTCATAAAAATGAATATAATACAAATAAAAGCTATAATAAAACCATAATAGTGTGTGTGTGATTAATAGTTCAATCATAGTTTTGAATCAAATTACTTGAAATCACAGTTTGAATGTCAAAGATATTTTGAGGAACCCTCTCATTTTTATATACAATGACAGTATTTTAAGACAAAGATTAAAATTATTAATCAAACTTATTTAAAGAAGCACCATAGAAGTGCATATGATTTGTGTACTATATTCTAAGTGTGAGGAAGTGGAATCTGCTTTACTCTTGCGTTTTTTCAATCATTTGGAGCTTGACAGACATCACATGCTTACTACGAATTATATGGAATTATATAATAATTATGTAATTATATCACATTATATGAAAATAAAGATTTCTCCGACAATGTGTTCCTCGGCCTGAGTGTAAGAGAATGAGGACAGAAGCTTCATGTTTAGGTGAACTGTTCCTTTAAATCCGTTTTCTCTCTGTGAAGCTGCTGTGATGGTTTGGTGGTGTCTGTGCAGGAGGACGTGGGCTGGGATTGGCATCATCTGTTCACCGAGGTCTCCTCTGAACTCCAAACGGATTGGGATCAAGAAGAGCGGGAAGATCAGTCTCCACTTCCTGTGGCCTGAGGATGGATTTACACCTCATGTGGACAGGAGCTTGTATAAGTGTATTCTGGTAATGCTATTTCACAGACTCTCTCTCACTCTCTCTCTCTCACACACACACACACACTCACTCAGACACACACACACACACACACACTCACACACACACACACTTGCTGTACTTTGTCTCTCTGTCTCCTCACTTGAGCTTTTTTGGGCTTTTTAATGAATTCTGCCCATATGCCCCGAGCAGCTGCTGCGATGCCCCTTCCTCCCCCGCCCCGCCGAGCTGTGAAGTGCCCATCCATGTACAGACAACCTCTAGCTGTCTCTCTCAGGGATGCCAGCGCCTGGCACCGCGCTCACAGCCAGTTTAGGAGGCGGCCGCTCAGATTAAAGCCCTGTGATAGCGGGTAACTGACCCGCCTCAACCAAACGCTCCCATAACCGACCCGTCGGACTGAGGATTAGGTGACAGCGAGAGAGAGAGAGAGAGAGAGAGAGAGAGAGACGCTTGGCATGAGGCTGAGTCCAGCTTCTCAAAGTCACCTCTCTCTCTCTCTCTCTGTCGTTTTATCTGTCTCCATCTTGCTTTCTGTGCAGCTCCACTGTACTGCATCTCTCCTGAAGATTATGGCTTGTTATAGAGAAACAGCACTAAAACATGATCATTCTGTAATCGCTTACTGTTGCTCTAAACCTGTGTGACTTTTAACCCTATGAAACCTACTGTATCATATTTGACACTCAAATTTCTAAGACTTCTAAGAAATTCTAAGAATTTCTATGATGTTGCGAATCAGCTCATGGGGAAATATATCAAATGAAAAATTGTGTGTTTGATTGGTCCAGACGCTACAATGATCAAAACTTTGCTGTTAAAACTGTTTCACACTCGATCTCCTCATGTCTTCTGTCTCTGATTGATAGTTTAGAGTTTTTTATCCAGTAAAAGTAGTGTAATTGTACCAACGTCCAGCTTCAGTTGGTGCTTCACGTGTCTTTCTGCTGTCAAACCTTGACTGAGTTTTATTACGTCAGAATAACTTTAGTCATATTTCCAGATGAACACTTACCGGACTGAAGCAGCTCAGCTTTACTTGATTCTCCATCAATCATGTTTTAGAGTCTCAAATCTGATCCTCAGGATCTTTTGAGGAGCGTTTGTTTCCAGAAGCTTTACTTTCACTGTTCCTCAACGCAGGGGCGGATCTAGCGGAGGGGCAACTGCATTATCACAGAATAAAATATAAATGTAAGCAGTGTTTCATGAGCTACTTTTCAGCCGCGGCGATGACAGAGTAACGCAAAATAATGGCAAAAACACGTCTTTTAATAAACGGTGCATGCTGGTTGCACGCGCACGCAGACGCCAGTGTAGTCGGCTTCATTAACAAATGACTCTTATGAACCAGATCTTTTTTGAGTCAAAACCACAAACTAACTAATTGTTTTTACATTTGTTCGTGAATCAGATAATTACTGCATTTCAGGTAACTCAGAAGTCCTCTGAGAAATCTAATCCTGTCCG